GAAGGACTATGGCAGGAAATATACAAATAAACCTGGAGCATCACATAGTGCCAAAAGTAAGAAAGTGCTCTCTCTCTCACATACAGACACATTGATGGGGTTATATCAAAGAGACATAAGAGCCAATTGAAAGAGCTCCCAATGGTCAAAGGTGGAACAATTTCACCAACAAAATAAAGTAGTAATTGGATTATAACTTCGAGAATAAAATAAATATCCATTAGTCCATACTGTTAAAGAAAATGATTGACTAACTAAATAAATGAGGGAAAAGAGACAAATTTCCTACACAGGAGAATTCCAAATAATTTACATAGATGCTCCACCCGTAAGGACAGAGAGCATAACTATCCACTTCTTAAGTGTGGGCTTTGAATAAGTGACTTCCTGCCACAGACTGCAGTATGGAAAGAGAGAAAAAGAGAGTAACTTTACAGTGGAAAAACTTGAAAAACACTACCTCAACCAGGTGATCAAGTTCAATATCAACACTGATAAATCATGTACCCTTAATATGTTGTGATGAAAATGGCAATTAGCCTCTGTGGTCTTCCTCCCCCAAACCTAAAACCCCACCCTAATCATGAGAAAAATAGACAAATACTAATAGAGGGACATTCTACAAAACACCTCAACAATACTCCTCAAAACTGTCGAGGTCATCAAAAACAAGGGAAGTCCGAGAAATTGCCACAGCCCAGAGGAGCCTAAAGAGACATGACAACTAAATGAAATGTGGAACCCTGAATGTGATCTTGGAACAGAAAGAGGACATTAGGTAAAATCAAAGAATATATGAATAAAGTATGGACATTAGTTAAAAATAACATCAATATAAGCTCATTACTTATAATTAATATACCATACTACTACAGGTGTTCATAATAGGGAAAACTCAGTGTGGGGCATGGGTAACTTTCTGTACTACCTTTGCAATTCTTCTATAAAACTAAAACTATCCCATGGGCTCTGCGATCAGAAAGAAGTCTACTTAAGATTCTCTCTCTCCCTCTGCCCCTCCCCACCCCCTTGTGCTCACTTGCACTCTCCCTCTCAAATAAATCAATAAATCTTTAAAAAACTAAAATTATTCCAAAAAATAAAGTTTATTTTGAAAAAAGAAAAAAAAATGGGAGCTCTCTCTCTGCTTTAAGCATGACTGCCAGGTTTTTCATTTGTTAGGGATTCTCTTTGCTTTCCGGTCCCACATCTTACTTTCTGCAGCCCAGGCGACCTCTCTCAAGCCTGTTCCTCCTCAGCCTTCCTGTTGGAGGGCAGCTTCCTACACTGTGGGAAGACCTGGAATGAATTAGAGGAGTTTCTCTCACCTCTCCTGCCCTGTGTTCAGTCCTCGGGAATTGAAAGCCCAGAGTTGCAGAGTGTGGGGGTGGGGAGAGGTCATCTCCAGCTCTTTCCCCACCTTCAGCCTTCCATAACTGAAAACCTGTGGCTTGTCACCCCTGAGCATTCACTGAAGACCTGTGGGTGAGAGCTGGAGGTGGACTGGCTCTTTGATGTAGGAGCAACTGGGGCTTCTCAGGGTTCTAGCCTGTCACACCACCCCTCCTGGATGGGGCCACAACAGGCCAGCCCAAAGTGTGGCAGGTTTCTCCTTTCCCCCCATCTGTGGCAGGTTCCTGTTCCTTGGGCTGTTCTACCCCAGAGCAGCCATGGGTCTCTTCTCTACTGTGAAGCTTTCATTACTTTCTGGAGTTTGTTTCATTTAGGTTTCCTTGTATCTTCACTCGCTGATGGGTTTTTAAAACTATAATTCTTATTTGGCTTCTGTTGGTTTTCAGGGTGACAATAATAAAACTTTGTAACCTTGTACATCTAAAGATTAATGGCTTTAATCTCTCCATGCCTTCTTAAATTTCATTCCCCAACACTTCTGATGGTTTACCCCACACACACACCCCTGGGGCGTTAAGGTTTCCGCTCAAATATACTCTCTCCAAAGAAGCCTTGCCTGATTACCCTGTCTAAAAAAAGTCACACCAGATGTGGCAAATCCACAGAGACAGAAAGCAGATTAGTGGTTGCCAGGGGCTGGGGAAAGGGAGGGAGGAGTAGGGAATGACTGCTTAATGGGTATGGGGTTCCTTTTGGGAATGATGAAAAAGTTCTGGAACCAGAAAGTGGTGATGGGTACACAACATCATGTATGTATCTTTATGCTATTGAACTGCACACTTTAAAATGGTTAAAAACTTTATGTGTATTTTACCACAATAAAAAAATGAATAGATACATAAATGCTTAAGCAAATGAAAAAAATCTAGCAGTTTCTGGGAAGATGGAAAGATTGAACATACATATTTAATTTCATTCCTTCCCAAAACTGAGCTAAAATGCTAATGAGGTATTTTTAAGGCATAAACAAAAGTTTGCAGGCTGGCAAGCAGATAGAACAGTGGTAACTAGTAGCAGATCCAGGAAAGCTGAATCTTGAACTAGGAAGGTGGAAAGCCAAAAATCAACCTGACTTAGTCCACAGAATTCTCAAAAGGCACAGGAATTGGTAACAGATGGTACCTCTGGAAACAGAGGTGGAGGGAACACCAAAGTAAGGCAGGCTGGTTGAAAGCTCTTTAAGAAATGGCTTAATCTCTCCATGCCTTCTTAAATTTCATGTGCTTGGGTTAACTATGCCTCTTTCACAAAGGCAAAATTCTGGAACATTATTGTAAGAAGAGGATTTCTGAACAAAGGGAACAGAGCACTGTGGGGAGAAGATCTTAATGAAATCAGGGGATTAGGTAAACCCATATATATACTGAATGCTGAAATCCTCAGCCTTTCTCCCTTACTCAGCTCCCAGAGAACCGGCTATAAATTTTCACCCACCAGATGGAGATTAGAAGACTTTTCTTTTCAGAAAGGGGAAAGAAATCAGAAAGAGTTATCGAGTGCTCCCTAATAGATGGCAAATCCAGGTCACCCAACAGTGAACTCACAGTCCACAAGTACCAGTGATGAACTCAAAGCTTCTAATCAACTTTTAGGACCATACCTTTCATAGCTCAGGATCACTACTCATCAGAGAGAAAGACAGAAAAAAAGAAGAAGAACTCAGAGGAATTACAGACAATGTTAACAGAAGAAATTTTTTTTAATTTATTTTTAAGTAATCTCTACACCCAACATGTAGGCTCGAACTCATGACCTGGAGATCAAGAGTTGCACACTCCTGTGACTGAGCCAGCCAGGCGCCCCATAGGAAGGAACTTTTAAATTAAAAAAAAATTTTAACCCAATCATTAATATGGTTGGAGAGGTAAGAGTATATCCATGACAAAGAAAATACAACGCTTTTTAAAAGAGACCTTGGGGGCACCTGGGTGGCTCAGTTGGTTAAGCGACTGCCTTCGGCTCAGGTCATGATCCTGGAGTCCCGGGATCGAGTCCCGTGTCGGGCTCCCTGCTCAGCGGGGAGCCTGCTTCTCCCTCTGACCCTCTTCCCTCTGGTGCTATCTCTCATTCTCTCTCTTTCAAATAAATAAAATCTTTAAAAAAAAAAAAATAAAAAAAATAAAAAGTAAAAGAGACCTTGGAAATCTGGGCACCTGGGTGGCTCAGTCGGTTAAGCGTCTGCCTTCAGCTCAGGTCATGATCCCAGGGTCCTGGGATCGAGCCCCATCTGCTTCTCCCTCTCTCTCTGCCTCTGCCCCTGCTTGTGCACTTTCTCTCTCAAACAAATAAATGAAATCATTTTTTAAAAAAGAGAGACCTTGGAAATTAAACATAGGGATATTTGTCAGAAAGAATAGAGAATAAAACATAATAATAAGAAAAAAACAAATAAGGAAATTAGAGGTCCAGTCAAGATAATTTAATATCTGCACAGCAGAGGCTCTAGAGGAGCAAAATGAGGGAGTGAACCAAGAAAGAAGACAGCACAGGAGAGAGGAAATAGAAGATCCAACACAGAGGAAGAGAGAGCCCCTAGAATGAGAGCTGGACACTCTGGGAAGGCAGAAGCTGCTCGGTACCACAGCACTTTGCCCTGGGAGGGATTTCTTCAAGATAATGACATTAACAGAATAAATGATGTGACAGAAAACAGGAACTTTGGGCAATTGATAGAGACTCCTGAGTTCAGTTAGTGATAGGGACACAGAAAATCATATAAACAAGTTATGCCCTAAACTGAAAACTCAGGTGACATCAGTTCAAATATATTGATAAACCACAGGTAAATCCCAAACAGCAAAGAGAGTCAAGAAGTCACCTCTGAGAAGGGGGAATGAGGGTGGGGACTGAGAATCCCTATTTGAACAATCCCTGACAAACTACTTAACTCGCTGAACTGTATAACCTTGAAAATAGTGTACATAAAAGAATACGGGGGGCGCGTGGGTGGCTCAGTCATTAAGTGTCTGCCTTCTGCTCAGGTCATGATCCCAGGGTCCTGGGATCCAGCCCCGCATCGGGCTCCCTGCTCAGCGGGAGGCCTGCTTCTCCCTCTCCCACTCCTCCTGCTTGTGTTCCCTCTCTCGCTGTCTCTTTCTCTGTCAAATAAATAAATAAAAAATCTAAAAAAAAAAAAAGAATATGGAAGATGGAGAAAGAGTGCAGAAAACCCATCTCAACAACTAAATCTGATCTCTGGAAGCAAAGAAGTCCCACAAAATTGTCCCACAAAGGAAAAAATAACGAGAACAGATGAGTTTGAGGGGGGGAAAAAAGAGCAAGAAAGAAGTAACATTACTTTCACACTATCACAACTCTTATCAAATGCATGATGTCGACAGCAGAAATCCGTAGGTTTCTGGGCTTCAGTTCCCTAGTCTATACAGCGGGTGTAATAGTCTCTCTCACAGGACTGTTCGTAGGCTTAAATCAGATAATGAACATGAAGTGCTTACAGTGATGGTAGATATAAATATTATTAACACAGTTAATAATTCACTCTTCTTTAAATAACTGAAATTCTTTTTTTGATATCAAATCAACCCATTCAATTGTCACAATACTGAAGAGTTTACTTGAATGGTTACCTTGTCTACTCAAACATCAAGGCTTCCAACCCTTTCACGTAGGTATCCTGAAAAAGAGGGAGGGAGAGAAACTGACTATCCAAGAGAAACAGAAAAATTGTTTATAAAAATATTTATCACACTAAAGAATTGACTGCACCAGAAAAACTACTCACGTCAACATGCTTTATCTTACACGTTCCAGTTGATTATGATCAATCATTCACTCACTAAGCAAGTCAGCAATTAGAATTGAAAACTTTGTACCAACTGTACATTAACTCAGTAATGCTGAGACAAGAATTTTTCCATTTCAAAATAGGCAAAGTCTCCAACTTATGCACAGACTATCTTCTCCAAGTTCAGTGATATTTTGTTATAAAGCTTGGGAAACGGGCACCTGGGTGGCTCAGATGGTTAAGCGTCTGCCTTCAGCTCAGGTCATGATCCCAGGGTCCTGGGATCGAGTCCCACATCAGGCTCCCTGCTCCTCGGGAGCCTGCTTCTCTCTCTGCCTCTCTCTCTCTCTCTGTCTCTAATAAAAAAAAAAAAAAAAATTTAAAAAAAAAAAAAAAAAAAAAGCTTGGGAAACAGTTTTCCAAAGAAATAAACTTATGAAATAAAGTTGAAGCCCTGGGCAATCACCAAAAACCAATTTAATCCATAAGTTCTCTATTTCTGGGCCTTTGGGTTTTTTTTTTAGATTCCACATATAAGTGAGATCATACAGTATTTGTCTTTCACATAGCATAATGCTTTCAGGTTCCATCCATTTTTTATTTTTGTAAATAGCATGATTTCCTTCTTTTTTATGACTGAATATTCCAGTGTATGTGCATGTATCACATTTTCTTTATCCATTCATCCACTGATGGATACTCAGGTTGCTTCTGTGTCTTCATTGTAGACAATGCTGCAATGAATATGGGGATGTAGATAACTCTTTAAGATAGTGATTTCACTTCCTTCAGATACATACCCAAAAGTGGAATTGTTGGATCACATGTAGTTCTATTTTTAATTTTTTGAGGTAGATTTTTGATTTGTAGTTTCTGCTCTACTTCTAGTTAGTACAGAAGCTTATCAGCAGCAAACTTAATACCATGTCCCCCAAAATTATAAAAAAAAAACTTTTAAAAGAGTCAGTATTCAGACAAAAAGATCTGATTAAAACCTAATATTTCTCTAGCTCAAATAACAAATTATTTTAGGCACCAAAATAATTGCAAAAATAACTGAAAATTATAGGATAAAACTATAGAATTTAGTAAACAACATATTCGGTGTCCACAATGATACTGATTTTCATAGTTTAAAACCTGAGAAATTTACCTAAAAAGAACTCCTTTAGTTTTTCATTACTCTAAGAAAACAAATCAATCTCTATAACATACCTTCACAGGAATAAAGATTAATTTATGAGAGAGAGAGAGCTCACTCCAAGCTTTTTGGAATGACTGATAATCTCATTTCTTCTTCCAAACACAAAATTCATATAGACTGTCACCTTAAATGAGATATGGCATAAAAAGCACTTAAGCTCCAATCTAGCATCAGAAATTATTCCATAAATGTTATTTCTCTTGAGCACCCTTTCTGCTCTAAAATTCTATACCTCCAATAAAACCAACTTACTTTATTTCTTTGTAATGATTTCATTTTATGTAAATTTACTAAGGCTATACAAATATTTGCTAGAACAAGTGTAGGAGGTTGAATAGCTGATAATGACTACTGACAACAATAGCAGAGACACAGGTAATGTCATCAGCCAAGGAGGTAAAAGCATCTCTAGACTACCTACTACATTAACACAATATTCTTGACATAAAGATTTTTAGGTGAGGTCTCTATGTGATATTTTTGAAAAATATTTGTATATCCAAGAAAGTTTAATCACAAGTAATTAAATCTATTTTGAATTTTGTTTCAAGAATTTCTGTTAAAAGAATAACGTTCACGGCACCTGGATGGCTCAGTAGGCTAAGCGTCTGCCTTTGGCTCAGGTCATGATCCCAATCCCAGGGTCCTGAGATGGAGCCCCATATCTGGCTCTCTGCTCAGTGGGGAGTCTACTTCTCCTTCTCCCTCTGCCCCCACCCCCTGCTTGTGCTCTCTGTCTCTCTCTCTCTCTTAAAAGAATAAAGAAAATCTTTTAAAAAAAATAAATAAAAATAAAAGAGCAATGTTCAATATCTCTGCATTAGTAATAAAACATGAAACCCACCAAGGAAAAGCAGAGCAGGAACCTCAATATATCACTTATTTTATTTTATTTTATTTTATTATGTTATGTTAGTCACCATACAAATACATCATTAGTTTTTGATGTAGTTCAATATATCACTTTTAGAAACCTATACTTATGTGAAAGTAAACATCATCAATCCCAATCATATTCCAAACTTTTAGGAGAAGTGGGTGGGTAGAGGAACAAGAGGGCATAAAAAATTTGACACTATTTCTATAGTGTGGGTTTATATTTTAATGTTTTCATTCTGAAAAGCAAATAGGCAAATTGAGACTTCCATCTGGCTTGTCAGAAGGGCTGTCATGAGTACTAACAGTCTCATTTTAATAAACTTTTCTTTCATTTCTTCAAGTATCTGAGACAGAATTAAAAACTACAGAACATGATGCCACTGCTTTGGAAAAAGTCTGGTGGTTCCTCAAAAAGTTAAACATAGAGGTCCCATGTGACCCAGTAATTCCACCCTAGGTATATACCTGGAAGAACTGAAAACATATGTCCACACAACAATTTTCACAAATGGTCATAGTAGCATCATGCTCAATAGCCAAAAAGTGGAAACAATTCAAACATCCGTCAACTGGTAGATAAATAAAATGTGGTATACCCATACATTGGAGTATTATTCTGCCTTAAAAAGGAATGAAGTGGGACACCTGCGTGGCTCAGTCAGTTAAGTATCTGACTCTTGGTTTCTGCTTGGGTCAGGAGCTCAGGGTCATGAGAACAAGCGCGGGGTCAGGCTCCAAGTTCAGCAAAGAGTCTGCTTGTCCCTCTCCCTCCCCCTCTGCTCCTCCCCACGCTCACTCTCTCTCTAAAATAAATAAATAAATTTTTAAAAAAATTTAAAGAGTAATGAAGTGCAAATATATGCCACAACATAAACAAGCCCTGAAAACATGCAAAGTGAAAGAAACCAGACACACAAGGCAATATGGTATGATTCCATTTATATGAAACACTCAGAACAGGCAAATCCATAGATGTGTAAGCAGAGTAGAGGCTGCCAGGGCGGGGAGAAAGGAGAAACGGCGAGTGACTGTTCAATTGGTATAGAGTTTCCTTTGAGGGTGATGAACAAGATCTGGAACCAAATAATGGTGGCAGTTCAACAAGATTGTGAACATCCTTAGCACCACTGAAACATTTTCATTATGTGAATTATATCTCAATTAACACAAGAAACTCTACCTCACAAAACATAGATGTTAACATCCTATCAGAGAAATGTGGATTATTTTGGTATCTCATTAAAAACCTCACGGTTAGGGGCGCCTGGGTGGCTCAGATGGTTAAGCGTCTGCCTTCGGCTCAGGTCATGATCCCAGGGTTCTGGGATCGAGTCCCACATCAGGCTCCCTGCTCCCTGGGAGTCTGCTTCTCCCTCTGCTTCTCTCTCTCTCTCCACCTCTGTCTCTCATGAATAAATAAATAAAAAATCTTTAAAAAAAAATTAAAAAATAAAAATTAAAAAACCTTACGGTTAATTTCATAAGGGAATTATTAATATTTTGTTATTATATTTATTATTATTTTATTAATATTTTAATTATAAACATTTTTTAAAGATTTTTTTTCAATTTTTAAGTAATCTCTATACAGGGTTCAAACCCACAACCCCGACATCGAGAGCTCCGCCCACGGCACCAGCCAAGCACCCCTCAAAATTAAACCTTTTTCTATAACGTCAATGTCATCCTTAAGATTTCCTATCTGGGGGCGCCTGGGTGGCTCAGTTGGTTAAGCGACTGCCTTCAGCTCAGGTCATGATCCTGGAGTCCTGGGATTGAGTCCCACATCGGGCTCCCTGCTCAGCGGGGAGTCTGCTTCTCCCTCTGACCCTCTTCCCTCTCGTGCTATCTCTCATTCTCTCTCTCTCAAATAAATAAATAAAATCTTTAAAAAAAAAAAGATTTCCTATTTGTTAGGAATTCTCATAAAATGCTTAGTACCAGCTTTGCAATGCTTAGTCTGCCAGTCTAGGAATCAATTTTATATAATATCTAGACAATTCAAGTGAATTTTTAAATGGATTAAATATTTTATTAAATTTGTCTTACCAGTATCCTGTGTTAAATTTTAGTATACAAGAGGAACGTGTTTATTCGTGATGAACAAGATCAGCAAAAGATAAAAAACTTTTTAAATAGCAAAATTTACCTGGTTTGCTTTAGCACTCATGAACTTATCTCTTGACTTTTTTTTTAATTTTAGTATTTAATAGAGAAATACAACATTTAAAAAATGCCATGTCAAATGCAATAGCAGCCCGTTAATTTATTTTACTTCAGATACAAGAGAAAATGCCACTTCTGGGGGTGCCTGGGTGGCTCAGTCTGTTAAGCACCTGACTCTTGGTTTCTGCTCAGGTCATGGTCTCAGGGCCCTAAGATCAAGCCCCCCAGCAGGCTCTGCAGTCAGCGCAGTCTGCTTGGGATTGCCTCTCTCCCTCTCCCTCTGTCCCTCCCCCGTTCACGTGTGCTCACGCTTTCTCTCTCTAAATTAATAAATACAATCTAAAAAAATGCCACTTCTGCCGAACCTGATTCTAGGTGAGGCCAGCTTCGGTCACCTACATAATCATATGCCCAATGTCCATTCACAATCTTCCTGGCTGCTCTTAACAGGGTTTGAGTACAATAGGCCCTCAATATACATGAATTAATTACATAAATTATCAGATTAAATAAAAGTCTCAACTTAAGATGATAAATCTCTTCTGCGCCTGCGCAAACCAGGCACTGGAACCAGATGTTTTATACATATTATTACTCATTTCAACCTCACGATACTTTACAGACAGGTTAAGTAACTTACCTAAGGTCATAACACAGTCAGTTGTAAAGCCAGAATTCAAACCAAGGTCTGTCAGGGATACACTCAGTTTTGCTGAAACATTCCAAGGACTGGCTACAAAGGAATGTATTTTCCGTTTAATTGGCAAACACTCATATTCTCTCTTGAACATGGCTTCAAAGTGTTTAGGGAATGAGAAAGTGCTTGAAAAGTGCTTGAAGAGAATATTATTGAAGAACAAAGTGAGGTGTCTGGGAAAACGTGCAATGCACTGTGTGCCCATTACGGTGCCACGTGCTGTGCTATTTTTTTAAAACATTTTATTTATTTATTTGTCAGAGAGAGCACAAACTGGGAGCGGGAGGCAGAGGGAGAAGCAGGGTTCCCGCTGAGCAAGGAGCCCAATGCGGGACTCGATCCCAGCACCCCGGGGTCATGACCTGAACCGAAGGCAGATGCTTAACTGAGCCACCAGACATCCCTAGGCTGGCTATTTTAAATGCATGAACACTTCATTGTTAACAACAATCCTGGGACACAAATATTGGTACCTCATTTTTTACGTAAGAGGAAACTGAAGCTTAGAAGGTTCAAGAAGGTCCAAGTTTACAGAAGTCTCAAGGCAAAAAATTGGGATTAGAAATCAAATTCAGTCCATCAAGAAGTATTTACTGAGTGCTTACTAGATATCAGGGCTAGAAGAAGCACTTAGGATAGAATACTAGAGATCCCCCCACATACAGCTCAAAACAAACCCATTTTCTTTTTGCTTAAGGAGTAAGTCATTGGAAATTACAAATTCTCCATAGATTTTTCCTTTAATAGTTTTGTTTTCAGTAATTACTCATACTTTGGTTAGATGTGTTAAGTTAGATGTTTGGTTAGATGTGTTAAGCTAAACTCCAAAGTTGACTGCCAGGAAAACTGAACAAACCTCCAGTAGCAAATGTAAAAATGGAAGCGAATTCTGTCCTACATGCATGATTTTGAACATATTGCGGGATGTAGAGGACCACTTTGGAAAATAAACTTCGCATGTTCTGGAGGATGGATTAAACCCTTTAGCATTCTGTGAAGCTTCTGAAGGTCTGGAAGATTTTAAATGACAACAGTGAAATTTCAAAAAGAACAGGATAAGTCAGCACCAGAGCTAGTTTAACATTAATAATAAGTGATCTAATAAATAGGTCTATGTTTGCCCAGTCAGGTTTTGCTTATTATGTCAGTTGGAAAGCCAGAAGGAAACTGGTTTTAACTCCCATTACAACCTGTATCAGGACAACATCACTTTATCAGAAATGTAGCTGATGTCAGCATAACACTGAGGCAGTTCAAATTAAAATTGACCTTTCTTATCCAACTATTTTTGCAATTCATTCATGGTATAAAGTTGAGAGCAATTACCATTTGTCGTGAGCTTTCTATGTGCCAGACATTACATGAAATTTTCTCATTCGATTCTCACAGCCACCCTGTAAGATATTAACCTTGTCTTTTAGAGGAAAGAAGTTTTGAGAAATGAAGTGACTTTTCTAAGGCCACATAGCCTGTAAAGAGGCAGAACCAAGGTTGAAACTCAAGAAAGAGGTCAGTTACCATCATGTTCCACAGCACTAAAAAGCTGTCAGTTTCTTATCTTGCACAGAAAGCAGAGTAAAACAGTGATTTGGATTATAAACATTTAACAGTACCTCGAAAGTAGTGTAGAATGATGTTGACCTTTTAAAAATTCCTAGGAAGGTCATTATAAAAGACAATATAAAATGTCTTGAAGTCAAAATATTAGTCTTTCAATAACATTTAAAAATAACAAAAAAATAAATAAATATAGCACTTAATATTATGAACAGAGAACCAAGTTTAAAAAAAAAAAAAAGTTCTATTCTAAAATAATGGTGTTTAAGAGACTGCACCAGTGCAGGCTGGCTCAAGACAACACTCCAGTTAACTCCATGGAAAACTAATCCCTATAAAATATTGAAAGACAATCAGCTTCCATTGTTAAACAAGCTTGAGAAATGTTGCACGAAACACTAAACCAGTCTTCTTTCCAGTTACAAATAGTACAATGTAGTGCTTGAAAATCCTCTGGAGCCAGTTTATCTGAGATAGAATCCTGGCTCTTCCACCTGCTAAGCCATGTTAGTAACTTTGGGCATGTTATTTTACCAATGTGGACCTCAATTTTCTCATCTGTAAACAAAAGGAGGTAATTGCAGAAGACAGACTTGTTGTAAAGATTAATACATGTGGGGCTGCTAGAACAGAGCCTCAAAATACTAAGAACTCAATGTTAAATTGTTAGTGGTAATATCATTTCCCTGAGCCTTTATTAAGCTGATGAAAGTTGATGTTTATGGTTAATCACCAAGTGGGAAAGGGATATGGTATGCATCTTCTCAAAATTATCTGGTGGAACCCACTTTTTCAAAGACAATCAAGAAGACTGTTTAATGTCTTTAAAACACACACACACAAAAATACTCTGAGAAATAATAGAGAATTCTAAAATAAAATCTGTTAAAAAAAAAAAAGAAAAGAAAACAAGGTTAGTGCTTCCCAGTTGCTGAACTCATCAAGGTGCTGGAAGGGTAACACATCCAGAGTGGGCTTGGAAGTGCTCCTTCCCCCATACCCTGTCCTACATGGCTCTTCCATTTGGCTGCTCCTGAGTTGTATCCTTAATAATAAAGCAGTAATATCTCCTTACAGATTCCAGCACATGGATTCAGTGCCCAGAACTTGTACATATACTGAAATTAAATACCATTTTGTTTTCTATTCCATAGCTCACACTGGCTTCAAGCCATCACCTGCATCATCAGATCAGTCATTCAATTATCCAAAATACTGTGTGTTACCTAGTCAGTTATCATCTAGCCTGGAGGCATCTGAACAAGAAAAAAAAAATGTTTTCCATTATCAAGATACGGCCATCTCTTTAAGTCTCATATCCCCTGTATAGATTTGAAGATATTCAGATTGTGTTTTTTGCATTTGGTGTTTATTGTGCCCAGTTGCAAAATTTATAGTCATTGCTGGAAGTGCCAATTATGTTACCCTATCATTAAGAATTTTTCTAAGCAATATGTGTTAGGATCTCCAGAAATGCTTATAGCCTTTGATCAAACAAATCCATTTCCAGAATCTATACTATGGAAATAAATAAAGAATACATGATAGAATTTTATGCAAATACATATATTACAACACGGTTTAAGAGAAAATTAGAAATACAGTTGACGCCTGAACAAAGTGGGCGTTAGGGGCACTGACTCCCACACGGTCAAAAATATAATTTTAACTCCCCAAAGACTTAACTGATAGCCTATTGTTGAGCCAATAACATAGTTGATTAAAACTTACTTTGTATATGTATTATATACTATCTTCTTACAATAAAGTAGGCTAGAGAAAAGAAAATGTTATTAAGAAAATCCTAAAAACGAGAAAATACATTTACAGTACTATATTGTACTTACTGAAAAAAAACCCGCAAGTAAGTTGACCCGTGCTGCTCAAACTTGTATTGTTCAAGGGTCAACTGTACTCAAAAAGTCTAATTTTAGGGTAAGGATTAAATATAGAGTGGTCCATTCATTGTATTATGCAGTCATCACAAATGATGTTATAAAGATTATGAATAATGCTATGTAAAAAAGTAGGTTACAAATATAGGTTCACAGTATAGCATAGTTACCAAACAAACTAAAATAAACCAACAAAACAATCAAAATAGAAGAGAAAAAACTAAATTAAAAAAAAAACACATCAAAACATCGACTGTGGTTGATTTGAGCCACAGGTGACCCTTCTTCCTCCTTTCCTGTATTTTCCAAGTTTTCTTTACTGAATATGTCTTTCTATTAAAATATTTCTTAAAAACTCAAAAAAATAAAAGGTCATATTTTTTCTCCAAAATTTTCATTAACTCTTACTTGCCACCACCTAGCCTTTGAGTTAAAGTTCTAATAGATGACAAAAAAAAATGATGTGAGGTGGACTGGCCTAGTTGTTAAAAAGATTGAAAAAGGGGCGCCTGGGTGCCTCAGTCTTGGTTAAGCGTCTGCCTTCAGCTCAGGTCATGATCTCAGGGTCCTGGGATCGAGTCATACATCTCGGGGTTCCCTGCTCAGCGGGGAGCCTGCTCCTCCCTCTCCCTCTGCCCCTCCCCCCCACTCGTGTTCTCTCTCATTCACCCTGCTCTCTCTCCCCTTCTCTCAAATAAATAAATCTTAAAAAAAAAAAAGATTGAAAATATTACAACATGATTTCTTTCGAACGTTATCTATTATTTTGTGAGAGGCAGAGATGGTTATATATCTAAGGAAGTAATGTTTTCTCCCAGCAGAATTGTTCTCAGTTTGCAGAGTGAAATCATACACACCAATATTTTTTTTAATTTATTTTATTTTATGCTTTTTTAAATTGAAGTATAATTAACATACAGTATTATACTAGTTTCAGGTGTACAATGATTCAACAATTCTACCTATACATTACTCAGTGCTTATCAAGATAAGTGTTCCCAAAAGCACATACCAATATTCTTAGGGTTCTGTAAAAATACCATGCATCATGATTCTAAGTATTCCTTAACCCGAGGAAGTCTGAAAGCATACTGTAAATATGACAAAGATCAATGTAGTAGAACCTCTGGTTTTAAGACATTTTGGGTATTCATCGTTTCTGATGGCTGAATAATGAGGGCACATGCTGTCATGAGCACTGGGTGTTATACTTAACTAATGAATCGTTGAACACTGCATCAAGGACTAATTATGTACTACACAGTGGCTAACTGAACATAATAATAAAAAAAAGAAACACATTAAGAAAAAGAAAAAGAAAGGCATTTTGGAAGAGGTAAAACTTCGAGAGTATGGTCTTGAGACTTTGTAAATTGACACATTTTCTAATTCTAAAAATAGACATTAATATGTAGCATTTTGGGTTATAATTTTTAACTTAGATATGATTTAAATATTGCTGCAATAGTATTAAATTTTTAAGTCATCAAGGAGATCATGAATCATTCTTATTGCTACTCCCTCCTTTTGGGACTCAGAACTTTTTACATTCCCCCTCAAGCTGGCATCGGGCTTTCAAAAGGCCTGAAGACTTATGATTTCTCACCCCAATTTGGACGCAAGATTATCCCTACCCACCTACTCACCCCTTAGACACAAGTTTGTCAAGGTCAAAAGATCAGGTGAGCACCAATTGCTTTCACTCTGCAGTCCTCCTCACCAGGGCTAACCCTTGCCAAAGAGGAAAACGGCCCCACGCTAGGGTTCTTTATGACATGCTGAGCAAAGGCCACAGATTGCTAAACATTGCTAAGTAGACCTGAAAACAATGAAGTCATCTAGCTCTGTGCATAACCCAGTATCTCAGTCTGTCAGCATTTTTCCTACAAAATTAATAAAAATTTGGACATCAGCTAAGACCACCATGTTTTTCATCATCACTACAATCACCCAAAATGTAAGCCCCTCCAAGTAATTAATTCCCCTTTGTTGCTGCACTCTGATCTCAATTCTGCTATGTACTCTCCCCCTCCTTGACCATCACACATCCTCCAATAGCTATACTTCCTGATAACCCTTTACACTGTTCCACTGTAAACAAATACCCGAAACCTTGAACCAATCTGAGCACCATTCCAGCAGTCTTCTTGTCTAAACTAAAATCTGAGTGCAGCTATTCTTTCTCCCCTCAGCCAACCTGCAGCATAGAAGTCATTCCTTGTTCATCATCGAGGTTCTTCACCCTCATGTCAAAGTACCTCTTTTGAGGTGTCTGTCCTGTTCCTGCCTCTCTCTCCTTGTTTCTGTCATCGACTGACCTCTTGGTCACTCTCCCACATTCGCCAAAGACTTTGGAACCTGGTTCAGAATCTTCCCACCCCTTGCTCTAGAACCATTCTGAGCAATTCACTTTCTGTGAAGCTGACTCCTGTTAACACCCTAGCTTTACACTTCCCTTATCTGCTCAACCCCAGTAACCTTCACTTTCTTTGCTTCAGAAACCCATTCCGTGGCCAGCTCTTGCATTCAGTCATAAACAGCAACTGTTTCTCTTAGTTAAGCTTCAATTTAACTTAATCTTAAATTCCAGTATCCAGTCTCAACCACTTCATATCCCAGCTGCCACTTTCTGGTTTCAGTTGGTCCCTATTGAGCTTCGACTCAATGGCCCATCACTTCCAACACTGTCACTGCTGAAATCTCTTGCCTCCCTTTCTGCCACACTGGCCCGTTAAACCCAGACCAAGATCAATCCACTTGTTCAACTTATCTGCTCACACGCTCAGGTTGCTGAGCCCTGAGATGGGGGGAAGATCACTCACACAACTACATACACCAGAGCCATGAAAAATGTGTCAGTACAATTCTTCTAAGTAATCCTGTTCTGTTAGCCCAATGGCCTTCTCAAAATTCTCCCTTTCTCCTCAAACTCTCTCCTACAATCATCATTTCCTTCCCCTATAATCTCAGCTAATGACTTTATCCCCCACACACCTCACTGGAAAAATTCATCAAGTGTACTGAGGCCCCAAATTCCTCACCTACCACCCAAATACTTCTTCATTGACACCATCCCTCCTTCCATTATTCCCACATTGGTGGAAACTATATTCCTACTTCTACTCAAACCCTGTATCTTTACTCCATTCCCTCTAATCCTCAGG